TGCTTTTGGTCTCTTCCCTGCGCATGAATGTCCCCCTGTTTCGGAGGGCCGAACTCCAACCAAAAGGGCCGGAACCCAACGAAAACAACTTAGGGCTTGCCAGCTCAGTGGGCGTAGTACCTGACTCATCAGGCGCTCCGTCGGTTTGAGGACGTTTCCATGTCCGTTCCGCAAGGGGATCCTTGTGCTCCGCCTACCTTCACGATTCTCTTGCAGCAAGGAGCTGACGAGCTGAGGGAATCTCTGCAAGGTGATTCCTACCAAGCCTTGTTTGTTGATGACCGTAATATGATTGTATTCTCGTCTCAAGATGTCATCCGCACGCTGGCCCAATGGGCTTCCTGGTGCACGAGACTGGGCCTGACAGAGAACCAGGTCAAAGCAAGGACCGTACCACGCGAGCCCGCGCAGGCTGAAGCACTGCGCGCTGCTGGGGTCAACCATGAACTGGTGCACGCAGAAGCCAAGGTCGATTTCCGTCAGGAAGGTGGAGTCTAGGGGGCACCGCTGCTAAGCACCGAGCGCCAGTTTCGTTTGTCAAGAAGGAAGTTTTTGCCTCCGCGAGAGTCGTGGCCTTGGCATGTTGGCCTCTTAGGAGCTCGCGAGGCCTTCTTCTTCTTGTTCACGAGCCGGCTACGGTCGCGGCGCAGGCTCTTCTTTCGAACCAACTTTGTTGGCTCACCCACCTTCGCCTTGGCATCTTTCTCGTTCCGGTTCCCATCCTTCTTGCTCTTCTTGAGGCCGAGCTGAGAACGGCGACCAAACACCTGATGCAGCAAAAATCCCGAGACCCCGCGCTATATTGAAACCCGAACATATACAGCTGCTATTCAGCGATCGATCCCTACACACAGAAAGAACCAAGTCGCGCAAGACCAGAGTGTCGATTAAACCATGATCGAGCTTGTATAGCTGTAGATCGATCTTATATGTATAAAGTGCACACCCATACTTCCGATCCCTATCATATCTGTGTCACCACGCGGGATTGTCGGCATCATGTGCATGTGCAGTCGTAGAGGGTCCTGGCGTATAAAGTGCATGCACGCATTGCAGCGAGCATACAAACATCGCGCAGGACGGCTATAAGACACGATATCATGGTGTGCATGTGCATTCGACAATCCACAACATTTGCTAGCTTCGCGAACATGCATGTATGGCAGATATGGCATGCATGCATGCATACATGGTCGACATATTACAGGCTGATCAGTCCTTCCGTTCGTGGAAGTGCATCGCCACTGAACTTGGCCCGCTTTGCTCGGATCCCTGCTGATTTCGGTTTTTGACCCAAAGTGCCACATAAACAAGAGTGGTACGCAGATTTTCATGCCTGCGTGGTTATACATGGCATGGGTATAGAAAGCTCGAGTTGCTTGCTTGTCTAGCGGCCTGTCCAGCTCCTGCTGCAGCATGTCAAGACGAAAGCGCTTCGTAGAAGGATTCGCACCTGAGATACGAAGCCGAAAGCGCAAGAACATAAACTCTGACACCCTACCGGTATCAAGCAGCTTTCGTGGCATTCATGATATATAACCAAAGCACCGCCCGAGCTTGAAAAATTGGATGGAACAGGACTCGAAGCCATGACCACATCTGTTGACGCCGCTGGTATAGCAGGGACACTTGTTGCCGGTGGAGTCATGATTGCAGGACCACTTGCCGGTACTGGGGCCACGATTGCGGGAGTTGCGGGACCACTTGCTGCCGGTGGGGCCACGATTGCGGGACTTGCTGCCGGTGGGGTCACGATTGCCGGGCCGGCGGACCACTTGCTGCCGGTGGGGCCACGATTGCAGGATCACTTACTGTCGGTTGGGTCATTGGTGGCACTGAAGGTGCAGCTGGAACTGCGGGAGGGGCATCATTCGCAGGTGGAAGATCCGATTCATCCTCCTCCTCCCGAATCAAACAAACCACATGCACACGCACACTCACTTCAATCCGATAAACCTTAAAACACCTGCGGAGTGCCCAGGATGCCTCTGCAGCTGGGTCTGCTGCTTCCCATCCACAAGCTCCTCGGAAATGCGGATTGACGGGAATTTAGGACTCTAGGACATCCAATTGGAAGGAGCAATATCGTAACACATTGCATGCCTTAAGACAAGAGTCCTGGAGCCCGGGTGGATAATCGAACACATGTCTTGGAAGTCGTGGTCCTCGGATGCATTCATATATATCAATGTGGTTAAGCTTACAGTGTAGGCTTACAGGGTTTGGAGGTTCTCACGTACCAAGCTTATACAGGAAGTGTTAATTGATCAATAAAACTGCCAAGCTCAACAGCCTCTTTTGAGCCTTCATTTTCACAAAAGCTATCATGCGTCTGCAGAACCAGGCACGGTCATCCACCTGGGACTCCTAGACCTCTCTTGATTTCAAGTCATAGAAGTTCTTGCATTCAACGCGCAAACTGTCCACCGCTGGAAGTTTCTGATTTGGAGTGCAAGAACGTCGTACCAACATCGGCACTACCACTGCAGCATTGAGTACAGTAGCACGATTCGAGGGATCGGCCCCGCAAGAGGTATCTTCGAGGAATCCCCCATCTCGCACCCGAGCCCTCACTTGTTCCACCGCATCCCATTCTGCGGCCAAACCGGCCGTATTGAAGGCAGCCATCACAACCCGAAGCCCCTAAAGTTCAATAGCTCTTGAGTTGCGGCAGCGAATTGTAAGCAACTGCCGTCCTGAACAATTTAACTGGGACGCGCTTGGTCCCCGGACGCTAGCCCCGCATCCTCGATCTTCGCGAAGAAGAAGCTGCGCTGGAACTGTATGGCTTCCTGTTTTTGCCCTGCTCAATCATGCACCAAATCATATAAGAAGCCCTCAACCTCATATTCAATACCTTTCGAAGATGCCACTTTATCCTGTAAAGTCATTATATGGCTTAGAACTAGGTTTTCATCGAGAAACCAAGTTCTCACAAGAATCCCTCTCATAACGCGGTTGCGCTGCGTGAACCTACATGATTTCGGGTTCCGGAAGTAGAAGGTATATATATATATATATATATGGTCAGGCGTCTGGCGTTCTCAGCCCCCCCAATGGTATAGTAGGGGTCGGGGTGGGGGGGCTGGTGAGTGCGGAGAGGGGTCGAGGCGGTTGGNNCCCCCCCCCCCATGGTATGGTCTGGTGGGGCGGGGGGCGTGGCGTGTGCGGAGAGTGGTCTGACCGGTTGGGTGGCGTGCTGCTGCAGGCGGCCGGGGGTCACAGAGAGGGCCGGGATCT